TTACACCAAAACTATGAGTCAATACAAAAAATCAAAACTCTTCTATGTAATGATCAAAATGAAATGATATGCAGAGCATAAAATATCACTGGAAGCCTTGCTTGAATTTCGATTCTCCAAGGCAAGAACGACATCGACGAAGAAACTGAAACACACTTGTAACCATTACCCTCGTGGCTATAGCTAAGTCCAAAAGAATGAAATGACAATGTAGAAATGAGAAGAAAAATATCACCAGTCATATAAAAAAGATGAAAAACATTCAACACCAAATCTTCTTCACGAATGATATTCAGTCTAATACCACTCTCTAAAATTTAACTTAAAGGGGAGAAAACCATAAATGATAAGCTACTGATATTCACCAAGCGAGAGAATAATTTATTCGAAAGGCAGAGAAAATGGACTTCAAACTGATGTGCGAGAGAAACCTACTCCAACAAAACTTCTTCAATAGAAAGATGTCAAATTTCATCTTGTGAGTAAAAACTACAAACCGAAGAAGCAAGCACTTGTTCAAACAGAAACAATCCACGAGTGGCATGACATGCCCCAATTCACTTTGAAATCGACCCATGGGAAATCAATTGATCCCACTGAAATATAATTATACATACATATAATTATACCAACATATTGTAGAATTATATATAAGTACATAAAATTCATCAATCCAAAAGAAAATTATATCATCCTCACATAGAAGATTTTTTAATATAAGTAGAATTTTATCAACATGTGATAGTTCAAGTATTTAAAAAAATTAAGTTAAGTTTGAGTATTTAAAAAAAAAAGTATTTTTTTTACCATATGACCGATGCGGTCCTAGTCATGAAATAATGCCAAGGTGAGAAATTGCATATGGTCAATGTCTACACAATCATCCTCCCTGCTATATATAGAGTCGTGCCTGTTTCCAATAAAACATTTTCTTTTATGTTTTGCTGCACACAAGCCCATGAATGTGTACCAGAATTGGACACAAGACTTGATGACTGAATATATAATATTCTTTCTATTTGAAACAATCCGACCCGTTTTTCTTTTATAGCATCGAATTAGCATTCCCATAAATACTAACTCTCAACATGCTAATTTTTCAATCAACACAAACCAATATAATCAGCGGAAATCATTCCAAACCAATTCG